AAAAAAAAAAAAACACACAAAAAATGAGTTGTCTTTTTTAATAGAAGGGAAAAGAAAATGGTGTGCAAACATTCTTAATGAGTCGCTCCTCCAAACAACACTAGCCACAACAGAGAAGAACTTATCATTTTATAGAAGGAGAGAGAAGACCTCTCTCCCAAACTTCTATTGCCAAATGTTTGGTAAGAAATAAACAGAAATAGCTGGCCCTACGCAGCACAGGGGTAGGAGAGAGTTGCCCCATGGGACAGAACCACTCAGTCCACAGCCAGTACTGGCCCACAGCAGACTCTAGCCCCAAAAGCAGAATGCTGCCATCCTAGATTGCCTCCTGGAGGGGACACAATACCTCAGGAGCCGGAGTTTCTAGGGGCTCATTCTCTTCGCTGTCACTTGAGCTGCTCTCGCTCTCCGAGTCCGAGGAGCTGTCTGAGTCACTGGTGCTCTCTGACTCGGCACTACTGGAATGTGCTGAGGCCGCGGCTTCTGGAAGCGACTGTGGAGCACTGCAAAGCAACCGAAGACAGAATCTGAAGACACCTCACAAGGTGGATTTTCTCCCTCTTTACTCACACCCCACCCTGCCCTCCAACCATTTTTCTGCTACTCAAAAGAGAGGGCCTTAATAATACCTAACATTACTAAATTACCACATCATCCAGTTGAGAGAAAGGCCCACAGTGGCTCAAACGGTCAGTGAAAAATCTTTAAAATGGCTCACCAAATAACTACATAAATGAGAAGCTTGTGGATATTTTGCTCCTGAAGAACATTTTGAGCTACACAAAATTCAAGTTAGATGGTAGCACTTTATATCAGAAGTTTAGTAAACCACGGCATGGACTGCCTGTCTATTCTTCTAAATAAAGTTTTATTAGGACGTGTCCACACCTGTTATTTAAGTATTGTCTAGATCTGCTTTTATACCACAAAAGCAGAGCTGAATAGTTTCAAAAGCTAAATAGTTTTTAGGCCATATAGCCTAAAATATTTACTTTCTGACCCTTTGTGTTTGCTTTAAATGGGTATAAATTAATCCATTAAGTTATTTTATGAAGTTATAATTAAAACCTCCCTCTGTTCTCTATATGAAAACTAACCGAATGGTAGCCAGAAACTGTTGAATATAAATGGCGCCCCTCTGGAAAGTGGCCTCAAAGGTAATCCAGTCACACCCTTGGGCAGAGTTATAGAAGAGGCCGTTTTTTATGAGTGGCTTAGGACCACCCCCAAATACCAGCTGAAGTAGAGATTAACTACTACAAGTTTTAAGAATAAGGCAAGAATTCTAGTCAGGGAGAAAACACACTGATCACACTGCTGGGCCCATACAGAATTCCACAGCCTATCTTAAAAACTTGTCCCAGATGGGATCAGCCAGGGCAATAAATCCAGAACTATAATCTTGAAAGCCTCCACAACCACCTAAAATATTAAATGATTTATTAAATAAATTTTTTTATTAAAATAAAATAGAGTAACAAAAAAAAAATACCAAAGTCACTAGTTGAGGTAATTTTAAAACACGCACACTATACTACAAATGATGTAACTGCCTCATATAAAACGCTACATCAAATTTGTGATCCCGTTCTCCCTGGTAGCTGAAGAGCTTCAGCCAGTGAGGATTAGAATGAGATGCACTTTCAGTGTGCTTCCTGCTTCTAGTTTATCCCCATCTTTCCTATTTTCTCTTCCTCCACTTTAAAGTTAGGCTATTTTGTCATATTTTATGCCACCAGAAGTTACTGAACAGAAGAGAAAATGAGCAGAGCTTTTGAATCCAGACAACCTCACATAATTACACGATAATTACATGGTCTGCCTCCACAATAACTGTAACGTCACCTGTGTGGCAGGAAGGTTTTTATTGCTGAGCACGTCTCGGAATGGATGACCACATCTCAAGAAGTAAAACAGCTACAGCATAGTTTAACCCTTTGTCCATGGAAGGCAGGTACCAATATATTAAATCATTAAGTTCAATACCAGAGGAAAATATTGTAAAGACAGTTCAGATAATTCCCACTTCCAAAAACTAAAGCACCTTATTTTCTGAAATATGGCTGCTACTTACAAAGTGAAAACAGTGCCATTTTTCATCACACTAAAATGCACTCTAGGTCAATTTTTTAAAGCAGCTGAAACAACTAGAAAACTCACATGACTGAGAAAACAGGCACTATGGAAAACAATTTCTAGAAATGATTCAGCTTTGTAATTTTTGAAAACAGCAAATAAAAACATTATGCTCCTCAGCATAACTTTTTAAACACTGGTTATATTAATACTGATGAAAGTGATTTAAGCTTATTTTTTTTTAATTCTCAAAAATTTTTAAATTCCAACCTGATGATCTAGGTAGGTACAGGGACTTTCTCTTTTATAGAGCTAACAACCTCTCTTGGCTGATTTAAGCTTCCAAAAAATTAAATAGGTACTTTCTTCTAACTGTGATCCTTCACGTCCTTCTCCATGAAGAAGCTATGAAAGCACTAACGGAGAAACGCAAACACTTTGCCCGCATACAATACCTTGGAGGTGCAGATGCAGAAGGAGGCTTCTCTGGGCTCTAGGTATTCACAATAAGGGCAAGAAGGACCAGGAAAAGAACAAAACAACAGGTTAGGATAAGCAGCTGGAAAGCTTACATTTTTAAGGATTCCTGGTATTACGGGGGTGTACAAAACTTACTTGTTCGTTGTCACTGTCCTCACTGTCACTGAGCTGAAGGTCATCTTCGAGCATGCTGGAATGGGCAGGGACACAGACATTGTAGGATTTAAAGTAGTGTCTACTAACTTCTTTTAGTATATAAATAGAAAATATGCTTAATGATAAAAAAAAAAAAACAACAGAGAGATGGGATAGGTAGAATTTTTATTTATTCATCAAATGCCTTATTTTTCAGAAATGTTAAGTTTTACTATTATAACACAGAAACTAGTTTAGTCCAAGCTCCTTACTATCTCAAGACTGAATCTTCCACACGTTCTGAGCATTAAAAGCAGAACTACCACGAGACAGGGATTTGTGACCAGCCTGGAGACTGAAGTTCCCAGGTTTACACAAACAAAACAAACAACAACGACTACCAGAAAAAATATACACAATACACTCTATTTTCTTCAATAGTCTCTAACTACATTAAGTGATTAACCAGTAAATAAGTTAACACTGGATAAGTGAGTATTTGTAAAGTGTTTAGAAGAGTGCCAAGGCACTTAAGTGTTATATGTGAATTCAATATATAGTAAGATATACGAAGCTATCAAGGCCATTGCCACCAAATACTGCAGGTATCTTACATTTTTGTTCAAGGGACATTATTAATATTAAACTTTATTTTTCACCCCACCCACAAATTCTCTCGTTTGCTTAAACACTCATTAGTTGAAAGAGTAGTAATATCAATAACACTGTTGTCTAGAAAATATGTTTAACCTTACTGCTATCATTCTGGTGAAAATAAAACCTCAGTTCACTTCCTCAAAGTTATAGTTAATACTCATCTCTAGGTATTCTGGTCTATGATCAACTTCAGTGCTAAGAGCAAACATCATGGGCACCTGGGTGGCTCAGTCAGTTAAGCTTCCAACTTCGGCTCAGGGTATGATCTCACAATTCTTGAGTTCAAGCCCTGCACTGGGCTCTCTGCTGTCAGCACAGAGACCACTTCAGATCCTCTGCCTCCCTCTCTCTCTCTCTCTCTCTCTCTCTCTCTGCCCCTCCCCTACTCTCTTTCTCTTTCTCAAAAATAAAATAAAAAAATATTTTTAAGAGAAAAAAACAAACATTATACTTCAATTTAAAAAAAAAGCCATTTTCCAGTCCCTACATGTTTATTCAACTCTCAGCCCCTCCTTATCTCCTCCCTCTTACCATCTTCTGAGGACAAAACTACAATCAAAAGAATGTATCAGTAATTAATTGTTTGTTCCCACTTCCCCCAAATTTATGAGCATCACTATTTGAGGAAATGTTATTAGTGAAGGTGGAAAAAATAAAAATAAAAAACCAATCTGCTTAAGTATATAAGAAATGCTCCAAAAAGCAAAATTATATTAGTTACAATCCTTTAGTATTTCTAAAAATACCTCTCCAATAATTTGACCAAAAATTTTTACTGCAAACCCACTAGCTGCCAATGAAGTAAAAGCAGGCATGATTATTTTGGGAATCCTTGGTAAAATCACTCTATTTTCTAACGAAAATAAATTATAAAATGTGGCTCTTTTGTAAATGACCACCTACATGCAATGTTTTAATTGTGCCAAGGAACTATTTTCACCAACAAATGTACGAAAACTATCCTGTGATAAGTCTCTTAAAAATACAAAAGCTGTTAGCTACTTGTAAATGGAGGTGCTGCTCAATATTTATCTAATGACATAAGGCTAGAAAAACACAGACTTCAGATGCAAAACCTGGCAGTAGCTATCACAATGGTGTGTAAGAAAAAAAGTCAACAATGTTAGTGCTGAAGGGTGGCTTGGCTGGGGTATACACACAAAAAAGATAAAAGATATATATATCTTTGAAAAGGTATAACGCAACCAGAAAAAAAGAAAAAAAAAAAAAAAACCTGACAAAGTATATTCAATGTTAGCCACTACCACCAAAACCACAGTTAACAGACCTCTGCAGTTTCTTTGCATAAAACTGGTTTGTCTTAACTTCCCAAAATATCAACGATCATGTAATCCAATCACCTTCCCGTTATAAGCAGAGGGCTAGATACTCTGTTAAGCTGTCTGCCTGGCTTCCATGAATATACTCTCCTAAAGTAAGTCAGAAAATATATGTTCTGACCTTCAGCTCTACTTTCTCTTAGGGAATGAAAGGGACTGTGAAAGTGCTGTCCCAGATTCCGAGAATTTCCCCCTCAGAACATTATGTAGGCAATAACAAAATAGGCCCGCAGGTCTGACACCTAAAGAGATGAGTGGCCTCTGAAGGCAGATTGCTCCAGATAGCTCTAAAAAATATTCACTCAAAAAGCAATGATAAACCAATAGGCAAACAAAATCTATCACTTACGTAGGATATACTGGTTATTTACGCTTGGTATTCCACTGAATCAAAATTCAAGATACAATTTGATGCAAAAATCAAGATTTTTTTAAAGTAAGCTCTATGCCCAATGTGGGGCTTGAATTCGTGACCCCAAGGCCAAGAATCGTGGGCCCTACCACCTGAGCCAGCCGGGCACCCTGATGCAAAAATCAACATATTATATTGTCAGTGTCTGCCAAAAGTAACCACGGAATCTTCCAGAAACCACAGTTTATTATTATCGCCAGATGGGTAGCTCAACATAAACCAGCATGCTAATGGGGGGAGGGGGACAGGAACCTCTAAAGTTTTTTATAACAAACATGTACTACATCTGTATTAAGAAAAAAATTAACTTGAGGTGCCTGGGTGGCTCAGTCATTAAGTATCCAACTTTAGCTCAGGTTATGATCTCATGGTTTGTGGGTTCAAGCCCCACATCGGGCTGTGCTGACAGCCTGGAGTCTGCTTAGGATTCTGTGTGTCTCTCGCTACCCCTCCCTCACTCATGCTCTGTCTCTCTCTCTCTCAAAAATAAGTAAACACTAAAAACAAAAACAAAAAAAGTTAACTTAAGAACCATAACTAAGTTTTGCCAATATAGAAAATTAATCATGAATGCCATTGTGACTTTACCCAAAAAAAAAAAAAAAAAAAAAAAAAAAAAAAAAAAAAAAAAAAAGAATCTATATAGTTAGGAGAAAATCTAACCTGATGACAGGTAAAAGTTTTACTGTTAGAGATAAAGAAAAAATGTAAAGGAACCAGCTGCTAAAACCCCGTTTGTCCCACTAACAAGCATGACTGAGGCCAAGTACATTACTATACTGCACTTCACATACCGTATGTAGAAGAACAGGTCCTTAATGGGGAAAATGGCAAAACTAATTATAGCACATCTGGGTGACCACCTTTGTGCCCCTAGAAGGGAATCAAATCTCTTAGACCCAGTCTCACTCATACCAGTAAGATCTAGGTCAAGAGAGCCAAAGGCTCAAGGGACATACTCAACTGTAAGCTTTTCTGGGGCAGGATCAAGTCATTTTCACCTTCATATCTTCTATATCCAGAACTTGGCAGGTACCCTAAAAGGCTGGCTGAATGAACAGCACTGCTTTTGCTGAATAAGTAACAGTACCACATAGCTGTGCCCGCTGTGAGATCACAACTCTATAATCACTGCCTTTGCTCACAACCCTATAGGCTGCCTCTCATCATCCTGTCACATTCTAAGGGTGAGGCAATGGGCTCAGAATGGCCATCTAGCTTGCTAGCTGAAGATCATGGGGCTGGTACATGCTGGATCCAGAATGCAAAAGCCATTCCATCTTATAGGACCCCCTTGCTCTGGCCAATAAAGGACACAAGGGCTGGAAAACCTACCTGATGGGATGGAATCTAAGCTTCAGAATCCCCTGAAAGACTTGGATTTAAAAGAAAATAGTAATTATCCTGTTGGAATAAAATGAATGCACTATTTTTCCCTTATGAAAATAAATGAACTAGAACCCTTATATACTTTTAAAATTGGTGAAACAACAAATTTCACTTCCAAACGCCAAGACAAAGCAGTTATTTCAAAGCATAGGACACCATATGGCCTACTGTAGCACTGTTCAAAAGAAGCCAAATACTCAGGTACAGCAACTCTTTGAACTAACACGGAGGTTTAACCACATTTCACATTACTGGTGAGGGAGAGTTTTCACTTAAAGGTTACAAACAACCCTCAAACCCCTTTGTACAAATGCATTCTTCAGGCAGCTGCTCCACAGAGCCGACAGAGCCACGTACAGGTTCCGGCAGGCGCGCTTCAGTGACTCACGGCCCGACTGTTACTGTGCGAAGACACACAAGACAAGCCTTTATTCCTTTCCCATTCCTCAGTACTGGGCTTGCCAAAGACTTCACTGCCAATATTCTGTAACATCTCAACTCAAACCCCAAAACGACGTAAATAAGTGGATTTTTTGGCTCAACATTTCCTATGATCACGCCATACGTTTTTTTGGGGAAAGAGCAAGTGAAGGCAAGCTCACGGTAATTAGTAAGTCACAACCCTGGTATTAGGTGTGTTTAAAACGGTAAGTAATACTTTTTCGAAACCGCTAATGAACACGTGAGAATGTGTAAACTTGAACAATCTCACAAACTTAAAACTGATTTGGGAATAGGACAGGTGATGGAGTGCAGGGAAAGAGAAAGAGGCTGGGCTCCAAAGTGGACATACATAATTCTTCAAATCTAAAATTCAATCAGGCTGTGATTCCTTTTCTGGTAAAGGGCAGCAATAAGGACTGCAAAATGTTTTGCAGATGATGGAAGATTACAAATTATGAAGAAGGTTCCACGTACACTAAATGAAAAATCGAAAAAACAAATCTCAAGCAGCTGTGACACTACATCTAAGGGGAACTCGCCATAAATGGTGACAGTGTTGGCATTACTCAAATTCATGAACTATGGGAGGTTATGGACAAACAAGATTGAGGGGAAAGTGGCTCAGTACATGATCTACTGTAGTAATTGAGGTTATGGCTGATTAAGTAAAAATTGTCAAAGGTGTAACAGATGATTTAAAATCCATGGAAGAGGTGAAGATTATCTGAGGTCACATAAGGATGTGAGAAAAATTACAAGAGTATAAATGAAGGGAAATCTGAAGTAAATAATAAGATTAAATCAGTAAATGTA